TCTTTGATCACTTTTTTTTTTTTGCAAAAAGCAAATCAACATGTACACCATTTTTCCACATCTGTTAGTAATACAGGAGAAAAAAAAGCAGGCTCTACATACTATACATGGTGTCAGGATCATTTATTTTTTACATATATCTTTAATTCATATTTAGATAATCGAGTATTATTCTCTGCACCTCTTATTATATTAATTGCACATTATTTCACATTTTGATAATTTGGTGTTACTCTCCTCACCTTTTATTATTATCTTAATCTCACATTACTATCTTAAGGCATAATCAACACAACTGATAAACAATTGCAGCATGAGAAAGCGTAAGTGGAGACAGGATTTGGTGGTTTGTGTATTTCTCTGTCACAAGCAGGAGGGAGAAACTGAAGGTGCAGAATGGCAAGTCTCTGCACCTACGAGATGGTGAAAGAAGGCTCAAGGACATGGAGGGGCCAATCAGCTGGCTGCAACACATTCTGTGCACATTCTCATGTAATAGTATAAGTACACTGGATCAGGGAGAGGCAGTCAGTCAGAGTTTGTGCCCTGACATTAACTTTGTTGGTGCTAGGGTAAGAAGTTTGATCCAGAGCTCTGTATGCTTATTCAACTATCTGATAAATAAATACATTTCGGTGACACCTAAATATCTTCTCCTATTGCTTCATTAAACGAATGCGCAGGAGCTATCTCACACATAGTGTAATTTATGGTAGATTGAGATTCAGCTCCAACAATGGTTAACTATTCACTTTTTCAATTTGTGTCCATACATATCTGCTCTGTGGAAACACAACCTGCAGTTCAGCTGAAAATTCTCACAATTTAAATCATGTGACTGTGACTTTAACATGTGACGACAGAATCTGGTGCAAACACTTTGTTTTTGGATACTTTTTAAACGAGCCACGAAGAACACAGGGATTTTGATGAAATATTAATTATAAGTATAGATTTGGTTAATTTTCTCGTACAGAATAAAGTGAGTAGTTCAAGAAACAGTCAGAAAGTTGAAAATCCAATGATTATTTCAGTTTTTACTGTTTCTGGCCCATACACAGTGTCATTTTGGTATTTTTTAAAACAATAACGTGCTTTTAAAACTGACTGGTGGGCTTTGGGGTTCAGATTGTTAAGATTGAAATTTTGACAGAACTAAAATTTTGATTTTACCTAGACCAAATTAAAATCCTTCTCATATCATCATGAGATTATAATCCTGCCTGGGTACATTGTAAATGTGCCTATGCAGAATTAAAATTTAGATTTTGTCTAGACCAAATTGAAATCATCCTTATAACAAATTGAGATCGTAAGCTTGCCTAGGAAGGTTTAAAATTTGACCACACCAAATTAAAAATCTGAATTAAATCAGAATTATAAGATTGATTTCACCAGACCACATTAAAATCATTCATATATATATATATATATATATATACATATACACACTACATATATTTAGTATTTGTACCAGTCTTGTGTGACAAAAGACGTATCACACCTCTTCATATATTTGAATGAAAATGTTGGTGTGACCCTTTGATGGTTACAGCATTAAAGAGTGTGAGGATCACACACATGGTGAAGTGTGGAAATTATATCACATTAACACTTTGCAATGTAATATGTGTGGGTTAGGCGTACTGGAAGGGTCTTACCATCTGTAGATGATGTTTTGAGGCGGCGGCAGATTTCCTGCACATCTCCGTAAGTGTCCCGTATCTTGTTGACGGCCTTGGTGCCCCGCAGCTCCATCAGGCTCCTCAGTTCCATCAAGGTCACCCCAAAGTCTCTGTTCTGGTTGCCCTCAGCAACCGAATTCCCCGGAGGGCGGTCAGGGGTGTTGTTAGCCATGGAGGTCCTCTTCACAATAAGGTTCCTCTGAGCTTCTTTGTTAAAGTGATTCAACAAAAGTTGACTGTGTAATCAGTTTGCAGGACTTGCGGTTGGTACACTCTGACAAGCGGCAAACAATTTCCACTGTTCTCACACTGCAGAAGAAAACAGAAAAAAGATTTTCAGAATCAGCAGGCAGATCAATGTAGGACTTCCACTGATTTTTTTCCTAATTAATAGCATCAAGTCCAATTTTGCCAATTAGGGAAGAGTTTCTCCTCTCAGATTATCACAGGAGTCTCCTGAATCACTGAGGTGGTCATCATATAAGCTGATGCTCAGTTTGTGCTGCTCCTTGGAGACTCATGATTGTTTGATAAATATCGGTTCTCACTGAACCATCTGCTGCTGGTCTCTGACTCTGCTGTGGGCAGAACACCATCAGTTTAACAAACAAAATGTCTTTTCTCTTATTTATGAATGAGTCATAATTTACAACATCAAA